TCACCATAGAAAGCTTGTAAGTGCGTCTTCTGAGTATAACTGGTTGGAATAACCTAAAATGGGGCTACAACTTGCCCAGTGAAGGAGGCTTCCTGCAGAGCCTCTGCATTATATAAGACCATAGTTGGAATCCTGAACCTCATCCAGAATCTTCTGAGGTGGGAAGTTTCCACTGCAAAGGACAAGCAGACCAGTCTGGAGTGGCTAGAAGAACAGAAGATACTTCTTGAAAGAAAGACCAACAGGCAAAATGCAAAACACTAAAGGCAATCTGGCTGATTACTACAAGAACAAGCAAGTTGCTCACCAAGGAGACATCAAGGCAAGTAAGTGGTAGGGTCCTCTCAAGGCAAACCCCCTTCCAAGACTAGAACTCAAGGGGACTACACCAGCAGACATGTGCTCTGACTACAAGGTTAGTTTGATCAGCAAGGTCTGCGATTCAAATTCACTTTTCACTCCTCAGAAACCCTATACAGGGTCATGAGGTGGGAGTTACTGACCCACTTAACAACTCTCTAAGCCAGTGAATTAACTCTCCTTTCCTTTCAACCCCTGGTAACTAGCAAAGAATGTTTCTGTAAGTATGAAAACCTTTTCTTAATTTTTACAATAATGATCTCATACAGTATTTGTCCTTTTGTTGTTGATTTATATTACTCAACATGGCGTCCTCTAGGTTCATTCATGTTATGAGGTGTTTCGCAGATTCATTACTCTTCAACAGTAAGTACATCGCATACCTTTGTGTGTATCCAACCACAGGGCTTTCTTGACTATAATCTTGATGGAAGCAGTTGGCCGGAACTTTTTTTTTCTATCCGCTGAACTATCATGTGGGTTAAAACCACCAATCTTTAGGTTAGCAGCATATCGTAGACTGCTTTTGCCACCCTCTGGCTAAGCTGTACAAAAATTCATTTTTAATTTAATTTTATTTGATTTCATTTTCCATTCATTCGTTAGACCACAATTTGGAAAACATTTCTAATGAATGGATAGCTTAAGAGGAAAGGAGTTGTTCAATCAATGATTGAGGGATGTGCCTGACCTTTGTTTCCAGCCCCTAACCCAAGAACACCTGAGCACACCGCATAAAGGAGACCACCAGGTTCCATGGCTGGGCAGCAAACCTTTCTTCTTTGTTCTCTTCCCCGAGGCTGTTGTTCGTTCTTCCTGGCCTGAAGACGCTGCCAGCAGTCTGAACCCTGAAGTTAAAGTCCACGCTCAGGCCTCGAGCCTCTCCCGCACATAAAGTCGCGAACACCTCGCCGCACTTGTTTTCTGGAGGCCGGCCACCCAGCGCGCGGAGGAGGAGGGTGGGTGGGGCGCTGCCGCATCTCAGCTCCGCAGCTCCAGCGGCGTGGGAGAAGGGAGACAGGAGACGCCGCGGGATGGCCGCGCAGGAGTGCTGGGCGGCCGCGGCACCCCGGCTCCCAGATCCCGACTGTGTGGCGGCCTGGTGGAACATGGTCAGGCGAAACTTGCAGTGAGTACCCGCCGGCCAGGCGTCCCAGGTCCACCCCATAAGGTTCCCGACCCCTCGGGCTGTGAGGAACAAGGCGCTGGTTCCTGGGTGCCTTCGGGCCCCAGTTCCTTACACCAGGACCTGAGGCCAAGCACTCTGGCTTGGGGAGTCCCCAGAGCCCTGCGAACTTCGGAGCTTTTTGCATTTCCTAGTCTTCAGCCTCAGCTCCCATCCAGGCCAGAGACTTGGGGGTTTGCTTTTTCAGAAAATTACATCGTTTGGGGCCTTAAGAAATGAGTATGGTTCAGGTTCCTATATCCATTGCTCTTATGTGCCTTAACATAATGCATATTGTGGTGTGGCGCTGTTAGGTAAGCACTAGACTGCTAACTACAAGATTGGCGCTTCAAACCCACCAGCTGCTCCTTGGAAACCCTGTGAGTCGCTATGAGTTGGAACAATAATATGCAGGTCAAATTTAAGTAATGATGACAATAACAGTATGTTGTCATCTAGGATGATAGGCTCTTGGATTATGCTCGTATGTATCTGTGTAGGTGGCAAAGGGTGAGAAAGTCTCTGCCTGCCTGTGAAGATTCTGGCATGCGAGTAAAGAACACACCTCCAGGATGCTAATGATGTGTAGTAACCTGAAACCATCCAGGTATTACCTGTGTCATGTTCTTACATTGTTACATCTGCATATCTGTATGCTCCTGAGCTTTTTAACTCTTTTCCTCTATGAATCCTTCCTTTGAAAAGTACAGTGGGCTCTCGATGTTCTGCATCTGTGGATTCAGCCAAGCACAAAGAAGAATACTGGGGAGGGGGGTGCTATGAAGTGGCCAAAACAATCCCCCCAAAATTGAGAGAGCTAAAGTGGTACTTAAAAAGCCTTTATATTACATTAGGTATTTAAACTAATCTAAAGATAAAGTATAGGGATGTGGGTAGGTTGTATGCAAATAACTACACTATTTGATATAAGGCACTTGATTGAGTGTGGATTTTGGTATCCTTGTGGGTGGGGAGCGTGGTCCTGGAACCGATCTATGGTGGATACCTAGGGATTGCTGTAGTTTTCCATGGTTTTCTAATTGATTCTGACATGTAGTGATCCTATGGGATAGACAAGTGCCCAATAGGGTTTCCAAGGGTGTAAATCTCTACAGAGGCAGACTGCCTCCTCTTTCTCCCTCAGAGGGACTGCTGAGTTCCACATGCCTTGTGGTTAGCAGCCAAGTGCTTTTATCAGTACATCACCAGGACTCCTTGTGTGGGACACACTGGAATGTAGTATCATGTAGTTCTGTTTTTTAAAATGTTTTATTATGAATTATGTGATAGTTTACATGGGAGAGCATTAGCTTTACATTCATCCTATCGTGTAGCATTTCATTGCCATGGTTACAATCCCCTCCATGCATCATCAACCAACCAGAGGGTATATCCTACAAAGCCTACCTCCTGGTCGTCAGCACATAGCTACTCTCCCTCTCTGGGTTTAGAGTCCCCAGATGTTCCATCTCTCCATGTCATTGTCTCTGCCTTCACCTCTGGTGTCACTGTTTCTCTGGGTAGGGTCCCACACTCTGCTCTTCTCCCTTGATGGTTCCAGGGACCTCAGCTCCTGGACTGCAAAGTCAATCACTCCCCTCATTTTGCTACAAAACATCTACCTTTACATTTCCAACCCTCACAGTCAGTCTTGATAACAATTATTCACTATTGTACCACATGAGTCCTATCCCCGTCTCCTTTCATCAGCCCTGCCCAGACAGATTGGATACCTACTCAGTGGAGAGTCTACCTTCCTCCATGCCCTCTGGATCTAGGCTCCCTCTTGAAAGCTTGTAAGCCACTCACTTCTTGCCTTTGTAGCCCCCCATTTTGGGTAGCCAATGTCCAAGTTGCCCATCCCTGTCTACTCTGTGTATGGAAGGGGTGGGAAAGATCCTTGCTGTAAGGATTTGTTCCCTCTTTTGAGCTACTGCATTCATATGTGTAGGTCAAGTTCATCAAATTGTATCAGATTACTCTTTTTTT